GGTGGTCCCTGAGCTGCACCCCTGTCCCGGCTCCCCCTGCAGGCAGTGTAGATGGCATCCTGCGCACCTTTGACCTCTTCATGGCCTACAGCCCTGGCTACTTTGTGGTGGACATTGTGGCCCGAGACCTGGCAGGCCACAATGACACAGCCATCATTGGCATCTACATCCTGAGGGATGACCAGCGCGTGAAGATTGTCATTAATGAGATCCCTGACCGTGTGCGGGGCTTTGAGGAGGAGTTCATTCGCCTGCTGTCCAACATCACTGGCGCCATCGTCAACACAGATGATGTGCAGGTGACCAGGGGACAAACCTTAAACCAGGGGCAGTGGGAGAAGGGAGGCCAATTCCCCGGGAGAGGGGGAGGTGGCAAGGTCAGAAGCAGGGGAGCAGGCCTGTGTCTGCTCAGCCTGGGCAGCATGGCTCTGAGGACCAGGTCTTTGGGCCTCAGCTTCTTCATCTATAAGCTGGAGTTGGTAGGGCTGGCCAAATAGCTCAGCAGATTAAAGCACCTGCAAGCAGGTGCAGGAGCCGGGTGTTTGATCCTCTAGCCTGCTGTGCTGGCCCCACCCCTGGGGTGTGCTGAGCCAGCAAGTGAGACTGGGCGTGGTGGTGCGCACCTGTTATCCCAGCTCTTGGGAGGCTGTAAACAGGCAGATCACTAGGAGTCCAATCTGGTAGTGAGACCCTGAACACCCTGTAGATCCTTCCCTAAAATTAAAAAAAAAAAAATTTTAATATATATATGTATTTATAAGCTGGGGCTGGTCATAGCACCTGTGTGTGATGTGAATGAACTAACAGGCACCATGCTTAGTCCCTGTGAGTACCGAGTAGAGCTAGGTCTACTGCAGGGCAGGTGTTGGGGCTTCAGAAGAAACCTGCCCACCCATGCCCTGGCTTGCCGGCCACACCCCAAAGTCCCTTCTCCCCTAGTTCCATGTGGACAAGAAGGGACGGGTGAACTTCGCGCAGACAGAGCTGCTCATCCATGTGGTGAACCGCGACACCAACAGAATCCTGGATGTGGACCGGTGGGTGGGGCTGTCCTCGGCGCTGGGTAGGGGACCCTCCAAGGAGGCCCGGCAGTGTCTGTGTCCCTCTGAGCCGTACGCTCCCATGTGTGTAAGGGAGTGTAAGTATGCCCATCCCTAAGGACTGAATGGGCCCGGACAAAAGGCCTGGGCACCCAGAGCCTCCACACTGTCCTAGCTGGGGGGCCTTCCTACTGTCGGCCCCAGGGAGAGGGTGGATTCCGGGGGTCCAGGCAGGTGGGCAGCAACTACCAGCCGTCAGGCTTGACCGCCAGGGAGTGTTGCGTGGTGGCTGAGCCTGAAGCTGAGCCCTGCGCTCACCCAGGGTGATCCAGATGATTGATGAGAACAAGGAACAGCTGCGGAATCTTTTCCGGAACTACAACGTGCTGGACGTGCAGCCCGCCATCTCCATCCGGCTGCCAGATGACATGTCCGCCCTGCAGGTACCCGCGGCACTGCCCCCCCAGGTCTGCGTGGTGCCCCAGAGCCCGCCCTGACGTGCCCTCCTCGCCCCCCAGATGGCGATCATTGTGCTGGCCATCCTCCTCTTCCTGGCGGCCATGCTCTTCATCCTCATGAACTGGTACTACAGGACTGTGTGAGTGTCCCCACGCAGCGCGGTGCAGGCAGGCAGGGCCAGCGCTTGAGATGCAAGCCTGGCCCACCTAACAGCGCCCTCTCTGCTTCTCCCTAGACACAAGAGGAAGCTCAAAGCCATAGTGGCGGGTTCGGCAGGTAAGTGTGGGCTACAGTGGGGCCGTGGGAGTAAGACAGAGTGCCACTGCTGGCTGCACCCCTCCTTTCCCCTCCACACCCCAGCCCTTCTCCCTGCAGGGAACCGCGGCTTCATCGACATCATGGACATGCCCAACACCAACAAGTACTCCTTCGATGGGTGAGTGGGCGCCCGACCTGCCCCACCTGGGAAAGGCTGAGGTGAGAGCGCCCCCTGGTGGCGTAGCCACCGTCTCTCACCTGCTTGCAGAGCTGGAGCCCTGACCTGCTGGGCCTGCAGTTGGGTGCAGACTTTGGCTGCTGAGTAGGTGAGGCAGAGTGTAACCTCAATGCCAAAGCTATCCAGACTGCCACATGGTCCTCCCCTAGCAGGCTCCTGATGCCATTCGCAAGGAGCTGTCCAGTTTTGAGGGCATCTGTCCACTCCAGCCCTCCCACTTTGCTAACTCTTTTCTATACCCTGACCCCCAACCGCAGAGCCAACCCCGTGTGGCTGGATCCCTTCTGCCGGAACCTGGAGCTGGCGGCCCAGGCCGAGCATGAGGATGACCTGCCCGAGAACCTGAGTGAGATCGCAGACCTGTGGAACAGCCCCACCCGTACCCATGTGAGCCGGGCCACAGCAGGGCCAGGCCAGTGTTGGGGAGGGTCCCAGGAGGGGCAGCTCCTTGCCACCTCTGGCCAAGAAGCTGGGTCCTTTGGGAGCGGCCCCCACCTGGTGTGTGTGTGCAGGTGTGCTCTGCCCCAGCCAGTGTCTCCTCTTCCCAGGGAACCTTTGGGCGTGAGCCAGCAGCAGTCAAGCCTGATGATGACCGGTACCTGCGGGCAGCCATCCAGGAGTACGACAACATTGCCAAGCTGGGCCAGATCATTCGCGAGGGTCCCATCAAGGTGAGCCCTCCCTGAGGGTTCCTGTGCCCAGCCCCTGGCTGAACGTTGACCCCACTGCCAACAGTTCAGGGACTCAGCTAGACCTACCTGGGTGAGGCCAGCACAGCATAGCCTAGAGGCCTAGGCACTGAAGCTAAAGAAGCCTGTACCCTGGCTCCTGATCCTGGAACCTCCCAAGCCTATGCACCCACCTCCCACGGAGCAAGGGGTGGAGCTGACGGCTCCGTGGGGTTAACCCTCTCCCTCCCTCAGGGCTCACTGCTGAAGGTGGTCCTGGAGGATTACCTGCGGCTCAAAAAGCTCTTTGCACAGCGGATGGTGCAAAAAGCCTCCTCCTGCCACTCTTCCATCTCTGAGGTAGCCACAGGCGGGCGGGAGCTGTGTGCCGTGCCCCATTTCTGGGGATGCTTTCTCACTCTCCTGCCACCCTTCTCAGTGCTGAGCCCAGAAGCCAGGGCCAAAGACTACCCAGTGTGTGTCCAGGAAGGTGCTTCTTGGGGATGGGGTGGCTCAGAGACAGTGTTTCTCAGATTCCAGGAGCCCCAAAGACCTTGCAGGGCTGGTAGCACTCTAAGAAACTGGCTGTCAGGGTCGAAGGGGCCTGCGCATGTGCCTTCGGCAACGTCAATGTTTCCTGAAGTGCTGAGATCTCAGCATCAAAAAGAGTTTAAGGCGGGAGGACTGCTGTGAGTTTGAGGCCAGCCTGAACAAGAGAAACTGTCTCAAAAAAACAAAACAAACAAACAAACAAACAAAAAAACAGCTGAGTATACACTGTATACTTTTGTCCTGCCTGATAGAAGTTCCAAAGTACTGAGTTCTGACCACATCCTGTGTCCCCTTCTGCTTCTCCTGAGAACATGTGTTACGTGGACATGACTGTAACTGGTCATGCTTTTGGCCAGCTTGATTACAAACCCAGATACAGCTGTGCCACAGGACCATTAGAACAAGGTGATAGTCACATAGGAAGCCCTCACGCCCCAGCACACACGTAGTGCCTGCAAGGTCCATGGTCCCCCACTGCAGCCAGTCTGAAGGTGGTCCTGCAGGACTGGCTGCAGCAGCGTCGGAGGCCATAGGCCTGCTGGGACGTTCTGTGTATGCAGTAGGGAGGAAGCAGAGGCTTGGTCAGAACGCCAGGGCCACCCACCCGCTTAGCCCTTGGGCACGGCCCTGAGCCTGTGGGGGTTTCTGAGCCACTGGGAGTTCCTGACCTCTTGCAGCTGATCCAGACGGAGCTGGATGAGGAGCCGGGAAGCCACAGCCCAGGCCACGGCAGCCTGCGCTTCCGCCACAAGCCGCCCATGGAGCTCAAGGGGCCAGACGGGATCCACGTGGTGCACGGCAGCACAGGCACGCTGCTGGCTACTGACCTCAGCAGCCTGCCCGAGGACGACCAGAAGGGCCTGGGCCGCTCCCTGGAGACACTGACCACCGCAGAAGCCACAGTCTTTGAGCGCAATGCCCGCACGGAGTCTGCCAAATCCACGCCCCTGCACAAGCTCCGGGACGTGATCATGGAGAGCCCCCTGGAAATCACGGAGCTCTGACTGCCGGGCCCACACTGTGGGAGCAGCTCATCCGGGGCAGGATCGGGGCCAGGCCCGCAGGCCAGCGCTGCATGGATGGCCTGGGCTCAGCCCCGATGGCCACACGGCTGCTCAGGCGGATGCAGCTCTGCCAGCTGCTCCTCAGCACCAGATCTCTACCTTCATAAGATTTGTTATTTTTTTATGAAAATCGAACAAAAATGCTAAGCGTTAAGGACATGGTGAGGAGGATCACTGGGACGACGAGTCTGAGACCACGGAGCCCTGCCCAGCCAGCCACCGCCCCCCCAGGCCCGGCAGCACCACTGGCCCACCACAGCTGCCACCCCTCACGCCCCACCCCTCTCCTGCCACCTCCCCACCTGAGGCCCAGGGTTCGCGAGTGACCCCTGCCCTCCCCCTCCAGGTACAGTCAAGGTCGATGGCAGCAGGCCAGCATTCTCCATTTCACTGGCTTCCCCGATGTGCCCAGCTTATAAAATGACTGGCATCCCCTTGGGTTTTGAACGTAGAGTGTTCATGTGTATTCCTTTTTAAAATTATTCCCCCAGCCCTTCCCCACCTGATTTTGTTGAACTGGTACTCAATGAAAGTTTCTGGAATGGTCTGTTTAAAAAGAAAACTCACTCACGAGGACCTGGCAATACATTGGCTCTGGTAAACCACTGTGTGCCAGCATTCAGCTGTTCCCCAAACTCCAGGGAACCCCCACCCAGGGCTTCACTTTCCTGGCCAGGATAGCCCATGGGCACAGAGATGTCACCAAACACTCAGGCCTGGATCTGGTTAATAGAACTTTATTGTTAAATCACCAAAATTTTAGTGCAAAACAATGAAAATCACTAAGTCCATTTAATAGCAAAAGGCTGGCTTGCCGGCTTTGTGTGCAGCCTCCCAGCAACGAGAATGGAAGAGAAGCTTTAGGGCCACACAGGCAGCAGCCAAGACCTGGCCAGTGCCCACCCTGCAAGTGCCTCAGCTTGTCCCCTTCTACCAAGCAGAGGCTTAGGAGCTTGGATCCACATGGACTGGCAAGGGAAGGGCACCAGCACGTGCCGAGCACGAGGCAGCACCCTGGAGCCACAGACACAGCAGCAGGCAGACGGCGGTCACCACCGCGTGAAGGTTTCACAGAAAAGGCAGGCCCACAGGCCCTGCGCAGAGCCAGCAGGGTGCGGCCAGGCAACTGCCCCTCCCCACCCACCCACCCACCCCCAGAACCCCAAACAAGGCATCCACAGAAAAGACAGGAAAGCAAAATCAGAAGGTAGACCTAGGACAACAAACCTGGGTCACTGGGACAATGTCCCGCCAGTGTCCTCCAAGCCACCAGGAGTTACTCTCAAACTCTATTACAATAGGAATTATGTCACTTTCAAAGCCTAATTATTCTGAACTTCTAATCTTCCATATGAAACTCCTTTGTCCAGCAGCAGGAAGGGAGGACAGTCCTTCTGTAGGGCAGGAGGTGGCCCCAGAGCCCATCTACCTCTCAGGGCTTGAAGAAAAGTCCAAGCCAGCCCAGAGAACTCCTCCCACAGCAGGCGCCATGTGTGTCCTCAACTTTCCAACACACAAAGGACACTGAAAGTGGCTCTAGCGCCTCCCACGTGACAACAACGCTACAGTGAGGGAGAGAAATGAGGTCAAGGGAAAGAACCTAGTTTGCAACAAAGTCATATAGGTCTGTGTGTTGTCCAAGACACACGAGGAGGGAAGGATGCTACAGTTCCTGCAGGGACGATGCTCTAGTTCCACACGTGACGTTTGCAATGTTCAATAGCCTGGGGGGAGAGAAGGAACTGGGTTTAGGCCTCAGATGACAAGCCGCTGTACTAGCCTGTTGGCATCACACACTACCCAAAAAGAGGACCAGGTATCTTCCCCTAGGTCCGCTGGTACGAGATGCTGAGGGCCCAGGATGACTCCTGAAAAGGGAGAGCTTTGGGGACCTTCCAGATGGCCCCCTACAAGCAAGGCCCAGAGCCTCTTCACCACTCACACCAGCCCCAGCCCACTGCTACCTGGCCTGGCCTGTCCCACAGCTAGGGCAGGGTCCAGCTGAGGCCTCGGGCAGTGGCCCCAATACAGCCAGGGTGTGGGCCTCTTTGTCCCTCCCCGCAGGGGCCACAATGACTAATCTCCCAATGGGGTCACAAGGAAACCCAGGGAAAAAGGGAAAAGTTGTGCAAAGCAGTATTAAGTAACATTTGGCCTTTTCCAGGCCCCAAGTCCCCACCCAGAAAAGCAGCATCAGGCAAACCTGGCTGCTGGCTGCACAGCCAGTGCTGCCAGGGTACCAGGGAGCTGCTGGCCAGCGTGGGCACTCTGGCTGGGCCACTGGAGAAAAGCTCCAGTAACCAGCTAAAGACCCAGGCTGGGCTCCCGTGAGGCCTGTGCAGGGTACAGAAGGACTCGCTCTGCATGAGTCCCGGACTCTGCGCAATCCCTGCTGTGACTCCGGGCGGACCTGACACCAGCACAGGGCACTGGGGCGGGCAAGCAGAAACGGCCGCCCGCTTCACTCCACAGACAAGGTGCAGGCAGCGCTGCCCTCACTCGGCATCCCGTGCACGGGAAGGCAGGGTGCAAGCTGACCCTGGGCTGGGGCACAGGGAGGGGCCACCCCTACTCACGTTGCACTGCACTGCTGTCTCCATGTTGTGGCACCAGTAGCTGGGGCCCCACACACACTTCTCAGTTCCCAGGAGAGGTTTCCGGGCAGAATGGCAGGCTCCAATTTTCTGTATTCCCAAAAAAGGGGGACGAATTAGAGCCACCTAACTGACCCTTTTCAAAGATGAGGGTAACAGCTGCCAGAAGCATCTGGCATCGTGGCACCCAGAGCAGCAGAGCTGCTGCAGAGCAGAGGCGCGGCGGCCCAGCGCCAGGGGAACAGCTGTCCACCCAAGACTTACTAAGCACACGAAGGATGGGTCCATGACCTCCACGAGGATTTCCAACAACAAGGGCTCATACTGGCTCACAAACTCATCACACTGCCAAGAAAAAGAGACACGTGTCCAGGTCTGGGTGTCCCTGAGAAGAACAGAGTGCTCCTCTACCAGCGCCACTGCCATTCCTGGCCACCCATACCCTCCCTGGCCTCAGTGGCTCCAACCTTTTGCTCCCTGTGAGCCAACAGGTCACTTTGAAGCTAACACGCTGGGCCTCAGCCTCCAACAGGGAGCAGCCCAGCAAGCAGCCCAGCCTCCATACCTGTTTCTGGTAGGGTTCAGGCAGGAAGCTGCAGCCCTTCTCCAGAGCATCCAGGATTTGCTGCTTGGTGCTGTTCTTCTCTAGGTTGTTCTCCAGGTAGCCGACCAGCTTCTTACACACCTCACAGAAGCCACCGTCCTTTAGTGGAGTCACGCGTGCTACACACCAGAGCACAGGGCTTAGCACTGACAAGGTCCCACCAGACCACAGCACGGTGCCCGCCCCTTCGCTGTGCCCTGGACTCACCAGGAGGCGCATGCAGCCTGCGCGGCATGGGCAGCTTGTGCTGGCCAAGGAGGCCCTTGCGGGACGTGCAGAGCTGGAGCTCACTGCACACCAGCTCGGGGCTCATCTCCTGCAGGAGCAGAGACACGATGGAGCTGCCATAAGTGTCCACCACCTCCTGGCACACCTCCGACACGGACTCGGGCAGCAAGGAGCACACACTATCCAGAGCGTGTACGATTTTCTCCTGAAACACATAAGAGGATCCTGTAGGACAGGGGGCTGGGCAGGGCTGGGAAAGGCTGGCCAATGGTGAGGTGTCTCCCTCGACCCCACAAAATCCCATAACAGAGCAAAGGCAGCCCAGCCCGCTGCTAGCTAGCCGAGGGGACCCACAAGTAGAAACCAACGGGTAGAAAGTGCCCTCGTGTCAGGACTGCTGTGCACGTTCCCAGCCCGGAGGTGCAGTGCAGCTCAGCAGTAAAACGCTTGCCTAGCAAGTGCCAGGCTCCAGGTTCCACTCCCAGCAGCACAAAGAAACAGCGGGGCAATGCCCCTCTTCCCCCCAGGCCTCCTGACTCAGGGCACAGGCGTGGGGCTCCCCTTGGAGGAGGGTGGTATACCTCAGTACTGTTGTTGTCAATCAACTCGAACACTTTCTTCACCACATACTCACACGCCTTGCACATAACCTTCTCGTGGGCCCGAACCAGCTCCTGCTGTTGGAAAGACAGAGGATGTTTCAACACGGGGACCCATGTCCCAGGGTCCTGCCCCTAAGGCAGGGGACACAGAAACTGGGGCAACTTAGTATCACACCATGGGCACTGCCTCCTGGATCCAAAATGATATGTGGTCCCTCCCAATCTCCAGCTTCAACTCCATGAGGGACCATCCCTCTTCTCAGGCCCGCTGAACACTCCCTAGCTCCACCTCTCGCCTGCCAACTGTGTGTTCAGTTAGACTCATGTCTATATCACTCTGCGCTCACAGATAGCAGTGAGTCAGAGTCACAAGCACTCCTCAGGTCTGCTCTCAACTTTCCCAAGTCCAGTCAGCACCTAAAACTGCTTTTCTAGATCCTACCTTCAACACAGCAATACTATTAGGCAGAACTTTCTGTGACAGTGCAAGTATTCTTGACCCTTGCTATCCAGGGCCGGAGAAACCAGCTACAAGTGTCTACCAAACATTAAGGAAGGAACAGACGCTCCACTTATGACACAAGCTGTGACTCCATGTTCTCCGGCCTGAACTCGGCAGGTGGGGCGGGCAGGCAGCAGAGGCCCTCACCCCATCCTACGTCCACACACACTGTGAGTGTGAAGGAGACAGCAGACGGCCAGGCGCCCAGATACTCTAGAACAAGCAGCAGCTGTGCCATGTGCTGAGGCAGCAGATGGCCCGGGCTCTGAAGTCATGAGGACATCACTTATTTACCCACGCCTTGAATGCTGCCTGAAGAGCTGAATACAGGCTCATTATGGGCTGGAGCAGCAGGCTTACTCCCAAGAAAGGAGATCTAGGAAACGGCATGAACACCCGCGCACAGGCACAGGCAGCGGGCTTGAGCCCCAGGAAGGGCACTCAGGAAGTCTGTGAAAGGTTACGCCAGAGCTCAGTACCTGAACGGTCTGCTGCAAGAACAAAGACATGAAATCCATTTTGAATAGCACAGAGTGGGGGCAGCGTGGAGAGCACCCACACCGTACACCCAGGGTACCCAGGGCCTCCGATGTGAGACCGTTCAGAGTCAGGCAGAAGCCCAAAATGCATGTGACTCACAGGATATGACACAAGACAGTCTAAGTGCTGTGCAGCCCCAGCCAGCAACAATCGGGACCCCAGGTACCTCGAGGGGCTCCACCAGCTCCAGGGCAGGGAGGGCCTTCTCCGCAGCCACTCTGGCCGGGACCAGGGTCTGCATGGGCACTTCCTTGACCTCAACACAGAACCCGACCAGCGCGCAGATCTCCTTGGGTTGCTGCAGAGAGCACAGAGCCACCGTCAGACACAGCCCACACCCAGTGTCCCTCAGCACCCTCAGGAGCCACGGTCAGGGCCCCGGGACACATCCTAGACCCCTTCCCCAGCCCAGCCTGACAAGGATTCCAGGTTCAACTGAAAAGCCCCATGTCCAGTGACAGAGCAGAGACAGGAGAAATGCTGACATTTTAAACACCCCACTGTGCCACATGGTGCACAGGAGGGCCCATCTGCAAAAGGAGGAATCACTTCAATCACAAGATCTTCCGACAGATCCCTCTCAGCACTCAGCTCCCGGCCAGCCACAGAGAAGGACAGGTTTCAGACATCTGGACCTTCACACTGCGAACCCTCAAGGGAGCCAAGCCAAGCCTACGGTGCTTCGGGCCTGTGGATCTGGTTCCTGGCTCCTCCCCCAACAACTGAAGGTGCAGGACCAGAGCTGCTAAACTCCCAGCCTGTTAAGGAAGGAGGGCTCCACTACTGCTGTGGCTCACCTCGTACTATCATAAGCCTCCAAAATTAAACATGGCTGAGATGGACTAGGAAAAGCACAGCCCAAACTCTGTCTCCGGCACAACTTAAAGAGAAGAGGTCATAAGGCTGAAGATAGAGCTAGCTTTTTTTTTTTTTTTTTTGGGGGGGGGGGGTCTTTTTGAGACAGGGTTTCACTATGCAATTTAGGCTGGCCTTGAGCTCACTTGTAGCCCAGGCTGGTCTCGTACTTATAATGATCTTCCTGCCTCAGCCTCCCAGCAGATGCACCACCATGCCTAGCCTAGAGCAAGCCTTTTATTTTATCTTTGCTTATTACTCTGGTACTGAGAATCAATCTCAGAACCCCATGCTTGCCAGGCAGGCACCATGCCACCCCGCAGCATCCCAGGCCCAAGAGCAAGCTTTTAAGGAGGCCAGGATTTAGGAGGCCTAGGTGGAAATTCAGGCACCTCGTCCAAGCCCACTCCCATCAAGCCTTTAAAGTGCCTTTAGAGCATCTGTGACTCCAACCCTAGAGACAGATGCCAGTGCTCAGAGCAGCCCCAAGGGCACCGGCTCCCCCATCCTGCAGATCCCAAAGGACCCCAAACTGAGAAGGCCAGAAGCCACAACCAAGAGCGTCTCCAAGTCTCTGGACCCACCACAGGGGAGCTACACTCTGGCTGTCTGTAGCTAACGTGCCCATGCAACAGAAGCGTTTCTGTAGTGAGGGAACAGCGCTGAAGACATGCAATGCCCACCCGTGGTGACAGACACAAGACGCTGGCGAGCCAGGCCTCCACTACGGGGAGCTGGGCCACAGCGCTCCGTGACCACGCTGGTGGCTACACACGTGTGCAGGCCTCATTCCCACCCCTTGAAAGAGCGCTCAGATCCCCAACACCTCAACACTGCGTATCAGGAGGGGTGTCCAGGAGACAGAGGGACCCCCTCTTTTCCCAGCCATCCCTGGTATCTGTCAGAGCGGACCTGCCAGACCACAGATGGAAAGAAAGAGCAAAAACACTAGAAGCAGCAGGTATCACTACTAAAAGCAAATTCTCCATCACATACCTGGTCCTGCTGTTGAACAAAAAAACAGGAAATCGGAGATGAAAATATGAGAAAGGAAAGGACACAAAAGTTAAGAAAAATTAAAACAACAATCAAGCAGTTAACCAGGCATAGGAATGTCACAGAAGTTAAGGGAAATGCTCTCCTGGTCTGGTACCCACAAACCACCTTGCTGCCACTAGTGATGATGTCCCCTCCATCCCACACTATTACTATCCCAGAACATGCACAGAGGACCCCAGGAAGGTCTAACCCATAGGATACAGGGCTAATGACCCTGGCCTCAGGCCAATCTAGAGGGCAAATGCTCGCCCAGAGGGTGGCTCTGAAGAGTGTGTCAAGCTTGGATGCAGCGTGTCCTGCTTTAGTGTTCCGTGCATAGAAAAACGGGGCTATCCATAGTACTGCTACAAGGATGCTCACTGCTTCAAGAGCACATCTGAGAACAATCTAACCCTCCAGCCATAGGGAACTGGGTATGGAAAAGATGTCCCAACTGAAGGAAGTCTATAGCATATAAATAAAAGATGACCCCACTGATGTTTTGTGAAACCCCCAGGACATTTTTGATATGGGAACTATCCCAACTTTCAAAACATTTCTACACTGCGGGCACAGTGGGAGAAAATATTGAAGTTAGCTAGAAGGAAGCCCTAGTTCACGCGGCTAAGTCGCATCGAAGGCTTATTGGGCCCCACTCCAAGCACGTGCCCTATAAACTGCCTCTTAATGTTTTTACAATGAGGCAGAGAAGAGCACAATAAATGCTGGTGTGGGTGGGCAGCTGCCATGGGCCAAGGGAGCCGTCAGAAACGGCAGGCTTGTAGGTGCCGAGGTCCAGGGTCCCTGGACCCAAGTGCAGAGGGCACACAGATGGGCACCACTGGACTCCGGGAAAACTTCATCACAGAGCAGGTGATGGCCAGCGTGAGGACCCCTGTGCCAACGAACGAAGCCGGGCGTGTATGTCAAGATCAAGGCAGATAATCAGCGTAACAGGGAACACGAGTGCTCCCCACAGGTTAGCTCTAAGAGGCTGATAGCTGCCGTGGGCCAGGATGCTGCACAACAGCCAGCTGTGCCCACCGGCTCTGGACACAAGAGGAACCGGCCTATGGCGTGACCTGTGCTTCTCACACTGCTAGCAAAGCCTCTTGCCAGTCCGTGGCAGCAAACTGCAGACAGCAGTGCAGATTGAGGGCCAGAGCAGCTCCCTCTGCCAGGCAGGACTCCCCTGCTCTGCTCCGAACTTAGGCTGTCCCATTTTTTGGCCTGGGGTACTCAGAGCAGCCTGCTTCTGCAGGCCCCGGGGCTAAAGCCAGACACACATCGTGACGGCAGCTGCATGGGCACAGGCAAACGAGGCACAGACAGCACAACCCCAGGACTGGCCCTCCTCGCAGGGACTGGGACTGCGAGTGGAGAGCCTGCTGGCCAGAGCAGTATGTCTGGGTCTGACCCAGTGCACTGAAGGTGGAAGGGAAAGCTACACCATGTAATGTGCGGAGTTCCTGGGAACATCACATTCAGCCAGAAGGCCAACACAACCAGGGCTCCCAGCCACCTACCATATGCATCACCATCTGGACGGCGACGTCAGAATACTGGCTGATGTAGTTCTTGCACTGGGGGAGAAAAACAGGTTGTCAGCTGAATAGTGCAACAACACACACCCAAGAAACCAAACCAGCAACACCACAGTGTCAAAAGTATTTCCTACAGTTCTGTAAATATCTGTTCTGAGCAACTCTTTAATAAGATAAAAGACACTAGGCATGACAGCATGTGCCTGTAATCCCAACACTTTGGAGGAAGAGGCAGGTGGACCACTGCAAGTTCAAGAACAGCTTCACAGTGAGTTCAAGGCCTGCCTGAACTGTCCATGAGACATTATCTCAAAAAGCCAAAGAGAAAGAGCAGCACAGGAAGTTCTGGATGCTTCCTCCAGCCCCCGCTCCCACCTCCGGAGCCCAGCTCCCTGGCCACAAGCACCCCCAAGGCACAAGTACCACGGCTCACCATGTCTGCCAAGCCAGGTCCCAGGAGGTCACACTCCTCCTTGGCGTGTTCCACCAAGCCCTGGACAAAGGTGGAGTTGGTTCTCACAGCAGTCTGGATGTCGGTCACCATCTGGACACAGTCCTGGCACACATCGCCACTGGTCTGCAGGAAGGACAATGAGATGGCGGCACTGCAGCCAAGAGGACCAGGCTGGACACCTGCCCAGCACCAAGCCCCTGCTGGGCGAAACAGGCCCTGACGCACCGCTGAGTCCACAATCACTGGGTGCTCACTGCAGGCGAGAGCGGCTCAGCAGTGGGGCAAGTGCTCACCCAGCACACACAGGGCCCGGGATCCACCCAAGCCACAAAAGATGAGAAAAAGGTGGACATCTTTGTGTATTTTCAATCTCCCATTCTTCAGAAACTACATGGAGGGGCCGTGGAGATGGCTCAGTAGGATAAGCGCTTGCCTGGATAAGAGCCTGAGTTCAATCCCCAGTTCCACCAAAAAAAAAAAAAAAAAAAAGAAAAAGAAAGAAAAGAAAAAGAAGGAAACTACATGGAGATGTAGTAGTACACAAAACTTAGGAGTATGAGGCAGGAGGAGTGTCAAGTGAAGGCCAGCCTGGACCAGACAGTGAGCTAGATAGTGAGCTCAAGGCTGACTCGGATTGCACAGCAAGACCCTGTCTCAAGAAACAAAAGTGAGCCAGACGTGGTGGTGCACACTTATAATCCCAGCACTGGGGAGGATGAGACAGGAGGATCACTGCCAGCTCAAGACCAGCCTGGGCTACAAAGTGAGCTCAAGGCAGCCTCAACTACACAGTAAGTCCCTGGCTCAAAGGCAAAAAAAAAAAAAGTGGAAGGGGGAATTGCACGGCTTAATAAACCCAAAGGCAGTTATGTACCTGCAGAGTCCAGCTGAGGGACCCCTTGGTTCTGGAAAAGCAGGCTGGCACGCACCTCCTGCTCCCCCCAGGTGAGCACACACACACAGCCTCAGCACCGTCCCCACGCTGCCTGCTCCCACCTGCTCTACCGGAGGCCTCACCTTCAGCGGGGGCTGGGGCTGGCTTCGGGGGCCATCCTGAGGGTATAGCAGCAGGGGGATGTTGGCCATGAAGGGCGCCACCACCTCGGGCAGGTCCACCTCCGGGATCCTGTTGGCCTCCAGCTGCTCCTGGCGCGCCAGCTCCGCCAAGTGCCTCTGAAGGGACTCGCAGAGGTTGAGGGCAGCACAAACCTCGGCCGGATTGCTCTGGGGAGAAAGTCCCCGCTGAGTCCCCTCCCCATAGGAACACAAAAGAGGTCACCTGTGCCCATCAATCAGCCTCTCTCCTCAAAGCCATAAGAACAGCTAGCTGGGCATGGCACTTGGGAGGCTGAGGCAGGAGGTCCCAAGTTCAAGGCCTGCCTGCAAAACTTAGTGAGTCTCCATCTCAAAATAAAAAATATGAAGGGCTGGGGTATGGCTCAGTGGAAGAACACTTGCCTAGCATGTCAGAGGCCTGGGTGCCATCCCCTGACTGCGAAGAAGGAAGCCCAACTTTGTCATGCAAGTGCAAACTGCTCCATACAACTGGACAACACAGACCACAGTCCAGGTGTCCAACCATATAGCAGTACCCAGGCACCGGAAGCTCTTCCTTCAAGGAGAGGAGCGTCGGGGGCAGGGTCAGGCCCAGACCTCTAAGCCACAGCCCCACCAGCTCATGCAGTCCACTGGTTTGAAAGGCCTCCGCCTGCCCCAGCCCAACAGCTCTCCTCATCTCCACTGCAGCAAGTGGCTCAGTCCCCACCTACCAGGGACCAGGAGACACCCCAACAGCCCCCCTCCCTGTCATTCCCCTTGCTCATCCTCCACAGCAGAATGCCGGTGTCTCCTCACAGGGCCATAACCTCTGGGGTGTCCTCTATGGCAGCTCTCAGCCCTGGGAGCTAAGGATCCCCTTGGAAAGTGCCCCTGGAGGCCCGTTAGCCCACTCCCTCTCACCTCCATGGGTCCTGCTGCCCCTGAACAAAGCCTCACAGGCCTCCTCGCCAACACCTCAGCTCTGTCCCAGACATCCTGCCTGACTAGCCCCACACTGCTTACATGTCTCTCCTCCCCAGGCCACTCCAACACCAGACTAAAGACAGGCGCCCCTGCGACTCCCACAGCTCGCCCCAAGTTATGCTCGATAGTGACACACAGGACTCAGACAAGGAGCCATCTGCTCGTTCACTGTCTCCTCTCGGCCTCAGTGCATGAGTCACCAGCTGGCACCCATGCACACACTCAGGCTCCCTGCCCCCGTGCTGGGCACTCACCCACAAAACCCTGACAAGTACCAGAGGACCCTGTGTGCCACAGCAACCCTCGATGGCAGAGCTGCACGAGGCGCTGCAGAACCCCAAAGCATGAACAAGCTTTCACTTCCAACCTTCGGCAGATGGTGACCTCCTTGGGCCTGAGACGTGCCCTAGAGAAGAGCCCTTCATGCCCAACACCTACCATTTCCCCTTTAACCATGTCCAGGATGACAGGCAGGTAGGAGTCCACCACCTCCTTGCATGAGGACGACAGGTTGGGGCTTCGGAGCCAGTCACAGACCCTCTCCAGGTTAGAGAGGATCTCCTCCTGCAGGGGATACCAGGGGACACAAGGCAAAGGTCAGACGCAGGAAGAGCTTCCTCCCAGCCGGGGCTGAGGGCAGGGTGCCCTCTGCAACTCCCGGAAAGCACAAGCCCACAAAACAGCCCTCAAAGAAAAGAAGAATAGAAAGCCAGACACAATGTCACACATTTATAACCCCATTCACCTGGAAGGCTGATGAAAGATGGCAAGTTCTAGACCAGATTGGACAACTTACCCTGTCTCAGAAAGATTTTGTAAAGACTAGAGAGTTCTTGATAACTTGGGTCTCTGCCAGCAAAAACAGGCCAAAAAAAAAAGAAAAAAATTCAGAGCCTGGGTATGACTGTGTACACCTGTAATCTCAGCACTCAGGTGGCTGAAGGCAGGAGGATCACTGTAAGCTCAAGACCAGCTTGAACTACATAGTGAGACCCTGTCCCCCCACCCAAAAAAAAAAGAGCAAAGAAAAGAAAAATGAAGACCTTCTGACCTGCAGCCTCACAGACAGGAATAGAGCAGAAAAAGCAAAAGTGATAGACACACGCTTCCTTACATTAATGGCGTGCAACATAAAATCCCAATTAACCTTGAGCATTTCCTATCTGGGCCAGAGGCCAGCAAACTAGTCCTTAAAGCTAATTTTTGTACAGCCTAGAGTAGACAGTACTTCCTACAAGACAATGGGATGGAGCCAGACTGCAGCAGCTCCCAGCGTACAGAAGGAGGCAGCCCTGGCCTGGTCACCTCTCTGGCCCCAAGCACAGCTCTCAGGAGCCACAGCCACAGCGACCCACCGCAGCAGCTCACCTCGGTGCCATTGTCTTTCAGCAGGTCGCCCGCCGCTGTGACCACCTGTTTACATATGTCGCATGGGAGGGATTTCTGAAAGGAAACACAAGGGAGACGGATCTGTGCTTGTGGGACACACTCACACCCCATAGCTTCAGACCCCAAGGCCCTTCCCGACCAGGGCAGGGATCAAGGTGAGTCACACACTCTGTCCTGGTGCTCACTGCCTCTAGGGGTATGGGACACCTGGGGAGGACAGATGTGATCCTGTGAGCCAACAGACCCCTTCCTGACCCCCCATGGGGGTACACAATCAGGTGCCTGGGCCACATGTGTGCCTGAGAGACAGCTGAGGAAGGAAACATGACAGACTTAGCCCAGCTCCCGTGGGTGGCTCCGGAGTCAGGGCCAGCACGTTGCTGACCTCGATCTCCTTTCTGCTCCAAGGCAGTGTTATGTGCTTATCAGAGACACTCCCCAAAGCCAGCCTCCTGATAAGGCTGGGCGGCACCCAGGGCAGGAGCCCTAGAAACACCCGCTGGTGCCCTTAGAGTTAAGGCAGGCAGGCAGGCACAGGCTCCCTTCTTGGTATCAACGGACTTCTGCCCTACAATGGTTGATACATTGTGTCAATTTGAGAAGTTTAAGCAACTCAGCAGGGGGCTGAGGGCCTCACTTTGCAGGCATCCTGAGCCTTTGCAAGTTTTGCAAGGGAAGGATGGAGATGCAGAGAGTGCTACACAGCCCCCTGGGGGGAGGACAGGCTTACACTATAAGGGAGGACAGGCGGCTTGCTCTGCCACCCCCACCTTCCTGCTCTTGTTGCTTTGCTGAATTCTGCCGCCTACAATTGGTGCCCCTGTGCACCATGCCACCCCGGCCCTTACAGACTGAAACCTCTATACAAACTGTGAACTAACTAAGCCTTTCCTTCATTAATTTTGGGTGTGGGGTATTTTGTCTCAGCAATGAAAGTAACTATGACAGAATTTGATACCAGCAGTGAGGTTATTGCTGTGTCTATAGGTAACCACGGAGTTCTTCAAGAGCCTTTGGGAATGGTTTCTGCAAAGAGTTTGGAAAGGAAGAGATGCCAGCTGAAAGAGTAGAACTGGAACACTGCAGGCTGTTCTCTATGGGAGATTCGGGTCAGAGCTCAGATCAGCAGGCCAACAGAAATACTACTGGTAAGGAAGGACCAGGTCTGGGATGTTTCTGCTTGGAAGGACTACCCTAGCTACTGGGATGTGTGTTATGGCAAAAAGTGTACCTGTCACATCTGCATCTTGTACTATGAATAACTACTATGAAGACAACAATATGCATGTATTAATTATTGTAACTGTCCTACTAACCTGTTTTGAAATTACCTCACTGCTATATTTCTCAATAAAATAAAAAAATTATTATTATACTATATATATCTTATATCTGCATTTTGCTTGTGTCCAGACTTTCCCTGAGACTGAGATTAAGGGCGGCAGACTAATCTGGCAGAAGAAAATTCAAGAATAGAATGTTGAGGCTGTGGATGGTTACTGTTGCAGACATTTAACCAGATTTGTGTTGCGAATCAAGAACACACAGCCTAACAGAATAATTTAAAATGTTGTGAATTTGGCGAGAAGAGCTCTAGTAGAGACATGGAGTGCAAAGAGGGGCAGAGGAGATCTTAACTGCTGAGAAGAGAACAGAAAAGGTGGCCTGAGGGCATCACAAGCAGCAGCAAACCGCCACCCTTTACAGCCTCAAAACCACCAAAGCAAGAAAGACTTTGCTGTGAGGAGAAAGCCACAGAACACCACGTTCCAGAATGGTGGCAGCATAGAGAATTTATTCCTCAGAACTGGATTCAGCGTCCAGTGATCCAGGCACTTGACCCCTACAGCCAAGAGAATGGAAAGCTGGGCTACCACCCCAGCTGGCAGCAGACCTTGGCATTATCCACATGGTGCTGGTTTTAGGTATATGCAGAACGCAAGAGTTGTGGGGTTAAGAAGGCCTCCATCAACTTCAGAAGACCTGGAAGGAGGTGGTATGCCCCGAGGGCAATTTACGGTTTATGAAGCTGTGAGTGGGAAGCCCAAAGTTGCAGTGGAGACCCCAGAAGTCTGGAGAAGCCAGGGAAGCGGACCATCTAAGGAAAGCTACAAGGAGGGAGCAAAGGAGAAGCCCTGGGAGCTACTACCACAAGTGCCACAGGGGTGCAGCCGCCCAAGCCACACTGTGCTACATATTGCCTCAGATGCTGCACGTGGAACTACAGAAATTAATGCTTGCCCTGCTGGATTTTGGACTTGCTTTGGTCCTAAGCCTTTGTATTTTCATTGGTAAGTTTGGAATGAAAAAAAAAATTTTTGTAGTTCTCAAAATACATGTTTATTTAGGTATAGGAGGTGTTAACCATAGCAGAATGTAGATACTCATTTTTGGAAAGCAACTTAAATCATTCCAGTTTTTCTTTCTTTCTTTCTTTTTTTTTTTTTTTTTGCGGAACCAGGGATTGAACTCAGGTCCTTTTGCTTGGCAGGGAAGTGCTTATTCCACTGAGCTATCTCCCCGGCCCTTTTCATTCTCTTTTGACATAATAATGCAATTTTTTTTTTCATTTTAAGTATTTGGTACAGCAAAATGTTTATCTTGTATCACTGAATGTTAGAAGTTTGGCTTTTTTTTTTTTTTTCCATTTGTACAGGGGCTTGCAGCTAAGAGTTTGCCTTACATCTTGGAGGAGACTTGGAACAGTGGACTTTTCAGCAATGCTGAAACTGTTAGGACTTTGGCAATTTTTTTCTCATTTTCACTTTGGCTGGGGTTGAACCCTGATCCCTGCGCTCGTCAAAGCAGTCGCTTGGTTTGCTGAGCTATCTCACGAGCCTGAGAACTTTGGCAACTCTTGCAGATGGACTAAATATCTTTTGCAAAGAAGGATACACATGAGTCTGTACGGGTTCAGGGGTGGAACGTTATGCTTCTAATGTAATACAATCTTGATAGACTTAATATTGATCTGTAAGGATTGCAAAACCTGTGTTATCATGTTTAAGCTGTGAAATGATAAGAATGAGCATGTCTTTATATTTGAAGACCAATTTAAAGAAATGTGTCTGGTTGCCAAGCTAACAAGGGGTGGAGGGTACTAGTTGATACCTTGTGTCAACTTGAGAAGTTCAGAAGTTTAAGTGACTCAGCAGGGTGACAGGGTCACTTTATAACCATCTACATCCTGTGCAACAGGAGGGCAGGGAGATGGTGTGAGCTCTACACCCCCACTAGGGACGAGTAGCCTACCTACAATGTAAGAGGAAAAGAGGCCTGTTGCTCCCCTTTTTGTTCTTACTGCTTTTGCAATCTTCTGCTGCCTAGAACTGTTACCTTGTGCCATGTGCCACCCTGCCTTGGAGCCAGCTGACTATGGACTGAAACCCCTACATCTATGCACTAAATGTGAGCTAAATAAACCTTTCCTTCGAAGACACACCCCCACAGGAGGGGCTGAGGCAAGAGACACTGGTGAATTGGGCGGCACGCAGGGAAACCAAATGGAACCCTGAGACCTAGCCAGGCTGACACTATGTGGGACCACAAGCATAAGCTTGAGCCACAAGACCAGCCAAGAAAGTCCTCAAGCCAGGCCTGGTGAAGCACTGATGTAAACAAGCACTCAGGAGGCTGAGGCAAGAGGAGCACAAGACCAGCCTAGAATACACACACAGTTCAAGGCCATCCTGAAATACATACACTGTTTTAAAAAAAAAAAATACAAGCAAGAAAATCCTCATATCCTCATTCAGTCTGGGAAAAAAAGTATCAGTATTCAAAACCAGACTGAATACAAATCAGAAACCAAACCTTAAAGTAGTTATGGCCACAGAAGGCAATTTTCTAATGTAGAACTATCTGATGAAAGAGCAGCATTGTTTAATCGCGTTTTCCTCTCTTACTGAAGATGCACAAAATGAGAACTTAAACTACACTCAGTCCAACACAGCCCAGAGTGAGCCAGGAGCAGATCTGGGTCCTGCTGGGGTCAGCAGAGCTCGAACCAAGGAGCTTCAGGATGCGTTGGGAATACACAGTTTGGGAGCCCTCATCTTCAGGTGAAAACCAGTGGTCTCTTCTTCCCCAGTGTGCTCACAGTTGGAAACGGTAACACTCCAGGGGTGGCAGCACACAGCTGCCTGTGCCCCCAGCACAGCGGAGGCTGCAGCAGGAGGACTGGGTCTCAGTTGGTGGCCTGTCTATCTGGGAGGAGGGAAGAAGGCTCTCAAAACAAAACGCAGGTGGTGCCTGCAGACTGCCCCTGAAGGCTGGGCACAGAAGCCCTGATCATATCTCTGCCACCAAGGGCCAGGTGGACCTGACTGGTAAAATGGCCACGCCCACAGTGACAGTAAGCAGTAGACAGGCTAGAAAGCAGGCACCCAGCCAGCTCACCACCGTTGGCTTGCTCCACACAGTCTGCCGGCAGTGCCGCACGGCCCCGCAGTCCGCTGCCGTCTTGAGGTCCTGGCACAGCACCCCTGAGCCTCCGGAGCATTTTCTCAGGTCTGTGACAGGGCTGGCAAGAGCTGGAAGGAAAAGCAGTGTGAGTGGGGTACACTCCACAGGGGTGCGCTGAGCTTCTCCCCAGCCCTGCCTGGCCCCTCCCCAGCCTAAAAAACATAACCCAAGAGGTGTCAAAACCAACATTTCTGAAAAAAAAACAAACAAACCAACATTTCTGGGATCAGGGAGTACCAGGACTTTGGATCCTTCTAATCTGAAGTTCTACAATCAGAGCAATCGCAGGGCAAACCTGGTAATTTAAAGAGAAGACTTCTACTTCTGTAGAACGAAGAACTGAGAATGAAATGAAATTAGTTTTGTTTTGTTTTTAAACCAAACCTATAAGCCAAACATGAAGAGTCATGTTTTTATTACATCCAACAGGGAAGGAGGGCCAGGGAGCTAGCTCAGCAGCATAAGCACCTGCCTGGCAAGCACAAGGTCCTGAGTTCAATCACCAATACCAAAAAAAAGTAAATAAAGTAGATTCCCAAGCTTCTTCCTAAGAGTCACACTCTACAGGAAGAGACTTGGTTATCTCCATTGTCCCATAAACAGAGAAGGATTCTTTTTTTATCCCAATATGGGGACTGATCCCAGGGCCTTCCCACTAAGCTACACTACCAATTTACTCTCTTCCTGTGAGACACTGTCTCACTAAGCTGCTAAATTGCCCAGGCTGGGTCTGAACTCTGCAATCGTCCTGCAGCAGCCTCCTAGTGTACAGATCACAAGTGTGAGCCACCACAGCCGGCCTCAGACAAGGGTTCTCGAAGCTGTTCAAGTGCAATGCGTTGGGGGCCTGCCCATCAGCTCAGGTGTTTAAGTGCCTGCTGAACAAGCGCAACACGTCTATAATGCTAATTCTATGTGAGTGTCTGCACATAAACAAGTTTGCAGCCAGAAAATAACACTGTATGGGCCACTCATAAAGTGAACACATGGCCACTCAGACAAGACACACCATGTGTCACCAGCTATGGCCTTGGGGAAAGGCCCCAGGCAGAGTCCATGCACGGAGGGATCAGGACAGGCAGAGAGCAGGATGCTGCACCACACCTAGACCTACGGAGTGCAGGTCAAAGCAAGGTGCACATCCTGAAAGCTAAAGGAGCCAGAGGGACCTGTCCAGTGACAGGAAATAGGACAGCTGGGACAAAAACCTCATTCTTCCAGGCATGGTGGTGCACACCTGTGATCTCAGCACTGGGGTGGCTGAAAAATAGGACGATCACTACTTGAGTCAGACCACAGGCACCCCGCCCCCCCCCAACTTCAAGCTGCGTAGTGAGACCCAGTACCAAATACATGAAAAAGAAATTTTCAGTCTTCAAGGCCTGATAGCAGCAGTGACTGGTAAGTACTTGTCGGTAATGTACCTGAAGACTTACTGGGGGAAAAGAAAACCCTCTTTGAAAAGTCAGTCTTAGCCAGGTGCAGTGGTGCACACCTGTACTCCCAGGAAGCAGAGGCAGGGGGTCAAGCCAGCCCACGCTACACAGCATAACCTTACCTCAGAAAAGTGAAAAACAAAATTAAGTGAACCATCTAGAGAGCGCCTTCACTAAAGCGGGTATACTGCATCCTTGATTTCAGGAGGGAAGGCTGGGGGAAGCTCAGAATCCAGGCTCTTCTCTAACCGGCCTACTCAGTGGGAAGAGCAGACACTATGGACCACACCAAGAGGATCACGGGGTAGCACAGGGCCAGACGCACCTAGACATTAGAGCGGGGCCCCCAAAGACACCAGCCAGCGCCCAGGATGCACGCTCGGAGCCACGCTGCCCACTGCTGTGCCTCACCAGTCCAGCCATGGGCCAACTCTACACACACAGGGCAGGTGGACAGCTCTTCCTGCAGGACACAGGGACATGACGCTTCATGGCTATGCAAACACTGAAGTCCTCCCAAAAGGCCAAGTCAGACCACAGGCACCCCCCACACTTCAGACACCAGAGGAGGAATCACTCATCTGTAGCAACATGAGCTTCCTGCCCCAGAGCCCAACGACAAGCACAAGCCAGCTCTCCACCTCCAGGGGCCACGGTTCTGGGGCAAAACCACATGCTCCCAGGTGGCTGTCTGGTTACCCTGCTGTGTGACCAAGCTAGGCTGTGAGAGGTGCAGGAAATGGGGGCACAGAAACCAAGAGGCTGGAAGGGAAGAGCTCTGAAGGCTGTGTGGTACTCGTGGCAGACTGCAAATGGGAGCCCCGAACCCAGCAACTTCCTGACTAGGCCTTCCTGGGACTCCTGAAAGCCTCAGCAAGACACACAGCCTGACAGGGCATGGAGGTGCACACCTTTAACCCAGCACTCGGAAGCCTGAGGCAGGAGGATCAGCACTTTGAGGCTACTCTGGGCTCGTCAACCAGATGGTGAGACCCTGTCTAGAAAGAAAGACCGACCGACCGACCGACCGACCGACCGACCGACCGACCGACCGGACAGACAGACAGAAACACAGAGAGACACAGAGACACAGAGACAGAGAGACAAAGAGACATACCACCTGGTTCTACTCAGTGATGGATACGAAGCTACGCAAAGGGGTCTCTGGGTAAAAGAGCTTACAGCGGCGCACAGGCTTATAAGAGGTCAGGCTCAGGCATCATGGGTCAGGACCAGGAGAGAACTTGCCAAGGAAGACAGGTACAAGCAACTGCCATTGCCCACACCTACCAGTAAATACTCAGCAGAGTACAACTAACTCTGACCCAGCTATTCTCTGCCATGAACTGGCTCAGCTGACCCCCAACTTAAGGGGTTTCAAGAAACAATGCTCCCTAGCACAGACTCAAGGCACACGGACAATCTGCAGGGAGCTCACTCCCCCAGGAACGAGACAAGGTAGTCGGTTTTGATCAGGCCTTTGCCTATGTTCTGGACCGGCAGTTCTGGACTGCAAAGAACCTTGGGTAGCTCTCTTAGCTGACACTAATCCAGCCCCTGCCACCTTCAATCACAAAGGCTGCTCAGGGCCAGGGAGATAGCTCAGTGGAAAAAGTGCTTGCCTAGCAAGCATGAGGTCGTAAATTCAATCCCCAGGTACCACAAAAAGACAAAAAACAAAGGCCGCTCAATACCATGAGCAGCACAAAAATGCTAACTGAACTGGAGGCAGGGGTGTGCAGACCTATGGTCATCGGCTCCAGCCTAAAATTCCATGGAACCTGGAAATAAAGCTGAGCTCTTAAGTTTCTAAAAATGTGTTTTTGCTTTCTGTTGTTTTAAAACAGTCTCATTATATAGCTCGGGCTACTGTTAAGTCACTATATAATCCAGGCCAGCCTGGAACTCATGGGGACCCTCCTGCTTCAGCCTCCAAGTGCTAAGATTACTGGCGTGGATCACTACACCCACCTAGCAAGAGAATCTCTTGAGGAGGGCCAGCAAGACAGCTCAGTGGACTAACGCAATTGCTTAGGCAGGCACAGGGACCCAGGTTTGATCCCCTGTATGTGCAGTGCCAGCCCTGCCCCTGGGGCATGTTGAGCCATGATTAAGACCAGGTGTAGTGGCCTGAAAACAGGAAGATCATCACAAGTCCAACCTGTGTAATGAGACCCTGTAGGCCCTGTACTAAATACATTTAAAAGATCTCTTGAGCTAAACCCAGCAGTTCAAGACTGGCCTGGGCAACACAGTGTGAGCCCCATCACAAATAATGTAAGAAGCCTTGGTGGGTTCCTTCTTCTGCTATGGGGCCTTCGGACCAGGGCTCTGTCTCAGCCTCCCCAGCACTGGGATCACAGGCCTGAACCTCTACACCCAGCTAGAAACATACTTTTTGGGAAGACATGACCATATTCCTCAAGCCTCAAGAAAAATGGATGAAGGTGTCTCTTTGCAAAAGCTGCAGCACTACACACACTTGACCTTGACGGGCCCACAGGGGTAGACAGCTGCAGGGCCTCAGGATCAACAGCTCAACGCCAGAAACTAAGCTGAAGGCCACAGAGCCCATCAGGAGCTGCCAGTCGAGCGGAGCCGAGGAGCTCGGGAGTCTCCAGGTGTAGCATCCCCTTCCCAGAAGCATTTACGTTCGGAATCCTGCCATAGAAGCGGCTGTCAGGGACCTGGTGGCAGGGGAACTCTAAGGATGAATGAGAAAAACACTCAGACAGAGGCAAGGCCAAATGGCCTACTGATGAGGAGGAGCCCCAAGCCCTCAGGCCGCCATGGCCGGCTTCAAGCCCTGAGAGGGAGGTGGACATCTCCGGAGTAGCTGTGATGTGTTCCAGAAACACAGGAGCCAGGGGCAGCCACAGGGAGGACTGGAGGCGCACTCTTCATGAGGAAAGTGGCTGGACAGCGAGTGGGCTGGGGTGCCATCACTCCTAGGGACAGCCACAGCAGGATCCCAGGGACCACTCTCCAGCCCAGAGGGCCGTAGGGGCTGCTGTGTCTGCCTGCTCTGCATCTAACCAGGCAGTCACCTGCACAGGTGTCACCCGCACCCTCAGATGCTGCCAGCTACTTACCCCAAGACCCAAGGGTGCCAAGCCTGCAGAGTAAGCCAGGCTGAGTGCCCAGCGCTGCAGAACAAGGTGCCGCGGCCACAAGCACAGCGCTCAGTGACCAGCACACCAGCCATCGGCTAAGACCCTCCTACCACAGCAGAGCCCTTCAACTCCCCCCCCCCGCTTCTGGGGGCAAGAAGGCAGGTGGCATTACATGCCGAGCCTCTTTCTTCGGAGATCTACACAGAAAACACAGGAAAGCAGGGCATCTCAGGCGTGGCCCTGGGCAGCTCTTGGGTCACTAACAGTAGCCCTGAGTGGGGAAGCCCATGCAGAGCGTCACGTCCCCTTTGTAAATTGTGGTCAAGTCAGGGGCTCAATAGAGCACTACTCTGCACGGTCTGGGCTGGTACTTATGATCCTCCTGCCTCGAAAGGGTGGGATGTTCACACTTTTTTCTCTTTTAATTTTGTTCACATCCTAATTTTTATATTTGAGTATATTTTTTTTTTCTCACGTCACCCTGAAGCCTTGCAACCTGTTAGAGGGACTGGCACTCCC